CTCATGTACTTGTCGGCGGCTCGCGGCACGGATGCAGCGATCTCTCTTCCCCTTGGGAAGGGAAGCTAAGCACATGGTATTCGGAAAGTGAGGATTTGTCACTTGACTTGGATGGTCACCTCAAGGGCATAGCCATCAATGGGACAATTAAGTGGGGGGGTCGCTGATAATCAAAAGAAAAAACATCCAAGGATTTCGTGAGAACCCGGACGATGCTGGTTTGGCCAATGGTTAAACATGTTTATGGCCTGCAGGAACAGCTCTGAATTCCCCAGGATATGAGTGGGTGTGACCGGGTGCGACCGCACCTGTCCAGTGGAAATGTGGGGTGGGGCTGTCCCTGTCACGAGAGATGCGAGTGAATAGACAAAACACTGCCCTCCCAAAAAGATCACCCGTCCACTGCCCTTCCCTTCCCAGATTCCACACCAATTTTCAGTTGGTTGGTGGACGATGGTGAAATCCCCCAATTCCCTTAACAAAAACGTTTTCCCCTTTGTTGGAATACCAACGTTTGGTTACAACCAATTTTGCAAAAACCGTCGGCGAAGTAGCCCACTTATGCCTTACTTATGGGCCAGTCACAAAGGCCCAAAATGGTCATGGCTTATGGGTATGTGGTAACATAGGAGACCCTCAAACTGGATGTTGCCTTTTCGGTTGGTTTGCCCACCAAAGGTCAGCCACATCTTTTTGTTGAAGGAGCCCATGATATGAACCCCCCCCAATTTGGTGACTCAGTCACTCCAGTTTGGGCGGGTGGCGAGTCCCCAGCACCTGGCCGCCATGCCGCAGCTTCCGAGGCCTCGCGGCTTTGCCCTGGCAGTGCGCGCAGAATCCCGACGGCAGCAGCTCGGTCATGGCCTTCCGCGCGGTGCTGTGCTGGGAGTCCAGGCGGGGCGCGCGATTTTCCCAAGGCCCGCCATAGAATCATCGCTGTCCGCGTTGATTCTTTGGCCGGTTGGCGGGTGCTCATTGACTCGCAGTGTATCTCATACATCCAAGTTGAGTGCTTGGTGTAGAGGGTGCCCCACGGGCTTCCTTCACTGGGGTTGAACACATGCCAAGGGACTTCGCTCGGGGCACCTTTTGAACTTTTGAAGGCTCCTCCCTTAAAAGATTCCTTCTTGTCGACCCAAAGACTACATGGGCAAAGGACCAAGGGGTTAGTGCCGATCATGAAGTTTTACACACCAAGTCTGATTACTAAAAAACCATGACCATGACTGGTTTGTGGATTGGATCAGGTTTCATTTGCCCTAAGAAGGCTTACGAAGCCCACACTCTTGGAGAGCGTCTTCGGGGGGCTGGCTTGTAGCTTTTTTGATATTCCGTTTTTGTTGGGTAGCGAGAACATGAAGACGTCCTGCAAGCACCACACGCCTGCCCAGGCAGGAGGCTTTCGTTTGTTCGAAAAGTGCGCTTCCGCCTCCGAAATAAGCGGGTATGGGTGTGACCCAAAACATGGGGCCGATTTTGTTTTCATGGATCGATTTGGTTTGCCTCGAGAAAAGCCATCCGAAAATGAGGTCCCCCAAATTGAAAGAGCTTCGTATGTCCAGAACCACTTGAGTCGGAAGCAAAATGGCTGTAAGCGCAGGTTGTACGCCTGAACTCATAAAAACCAAGTCCGGCATCCAAACGCAAACTGTTTGAAAACGGTATAGTCCATGGTCTCATTAAAATGTCAAAGTGGGTGTGTCTTTCTTTGCGGAACCCTTGTTGGTTTTAAAGAGAAACCAAAAGAAACTGTTGCCAGTTTGGAGGTTTCCGCAACTTTGAGACAAACCCAATGTTTGTCACGGGCCCTTTGCACAATCCGTTTGATTTTCCCATCCAGGGCCTCATTTGAGTGAACATTGAATAGGCCTTCGCACAACTACTCTTTGGGGAGTTCCTTTTCACGGGCATGGATGATTTAGAGAACAACATGCATGCATGATGAACAACCCAATAAGATCAGAACACAAGTCAGTTGTATCATGCAAGATGCTGCGCAAAAAAAGAATCTCCCAGGGGATAGGCTTGTGGCATGTCCCTTGCCACGAAAAGGAGTGCGTGTCGTCCAAAATGTGTTGATTACTTGCCATGGAAATTGGGTCGACACCTCTGACAATCAGCACTACGTCTTGAGTATGAGTCATTTTGATCATGACTTATGTTGGTGACTGATTATGATCCTGACTCATGTTGATTACGTATTATGTTGAACATTGCTTAATTTGAGTGTTTGAGTAAGACTTGCGATGACCGTGGCGGATTTCGATCAGGGCTTATCTTGGTTGTGTGTGTTTTGTGTAGATGACTGTTCTTTCCATGTTGGCTTGTGTGATCATGACTATGTTTAGTATAGCCGTTTTGTTGTTCATGAGTTACTTTGACTATGACTTACGTCGGGTCATGTTTTGTTGTTGGATCATGCTGGAGTTTCATTGTGACTTGTATTGACAATGATGAATTTTAGAGTGATTCCGTTTGAATACGACATGAGAGTTGTCTTGATGTCGTTTTAATACCCGATCAATCCGGGAATAGGTCTCACTTCCTGATGCTGATGGGCTCTCTGGGTGCCTTGATTCTCTTCACTGTGACCCCCTTGGCCGCCATCTTCTGGGCGGTGTGGGTGCACCTCGGCCCAGGTGCAGTTCCTTTTTTTTAGGGGTCTATGGGGCGAAATCCGAAATCCGTTGGCTTTGGGCGTGTTGTTTTTTTGTTTGGGGGGGGGGGGGGGGAATTTGTCCATCCCTCAACCTGGTTTTGAACACATCGTTTTCTCGGATCGCTTTGGCCACAGAAGGGCTATCTCCATGTCTTGGCAAGGGCCTCCTTTTGCAGGGTCGACCTCTGAAAGAAGATCCCCATCCATCCTTTTGATGTACCTGTCACCTTTGTGGCCAGAAGATTCTCCTTGGATGATGTTGAAAGAGCACAAAGACCGGACCACGGCTTTGCCAAATTGAGCTTTGTTTTGCCCCACTGTTTTCAGTCACACACGTTTTCCCTGCTTCTTTGGTCACTTCTCACTAGTGGTCAGCCCCACAAGGGTCACGGGCAAACATGCTCTGGATTTGTTGCACCGCAATCCAAAGCGGAAGTTCATCGGAAGTTGTGTCGTGTGTGTGTGTTTGCAGTTTGCCGGGTCTCCTGTATAATCAAGCTAATTTGCCCAAAAGGACACCACCAGGACATACATGGTTCATTCTTGACTTTGCCAGTTCCTACGGGGCAGTGTCACCAGAAGGCAAGCCAAAAGTTGCTTGGAATCTTTATCTGAAGCGGAAACAGAACTTTCACAAAGCAATCCTTTGCGCTCAATGTTACCAAAAAAAAATGGTCTACCCCAACATGAGAGTTTACGTATGTAAATGTATTCGTACATTCCTAGCATTCCCCAATGAGTAAATGCCAAGGCCCTTTATATCAATTTATGCAGCACCCTTTGTATCAAATTCTGAAGTGAAATCAAAGGGTAATCACCCGTTCGGGGGGGGGTCCATCTTTTGAGACAACACCATTTGTGAAGTGTTGACCGATGCAACGGGTTTATCGCACAACATGGACGCCCAAGATGTGTGATTTCCATGTGGTTTCCTTTTCAGAGAAGAAAGCCGTAGGGCATCGTTTGGAGAACCGCCAGAGGTACCCCTCACGACTCCAGCGGCCTGGGGGTATCCACTTTATGGTGCGCTGGCGCTTTGCCTTCGGGCGGTTCTCGGCAAAGAGCCACTGGGACTCGACTTATGCACGGATGAAACCCGAGTTGAGTACTATGTATATATATATATAGATACATACTGCTTGATAAACCATCAACTGGTGCAAAGCGGTGTTTGGTCCATCCACAAAGGGGGGGGTGTTCTGGTTTTTTGGAGCCACACCAAAACTTGGGCCATCTATTGTTTCACCAAACTGAGTAAACATGGATGCACAATCAGTGCCTTGCTTGCTTGCTTGCTTCCGTTCCCGCCTCGCTCAGGTAGGGTCATTTTGAGGATGTCAATGCTAGGAAGGCTCACTGATTTTCCCGGTGGCCCAGAACGTCGGACAAGTCGATTCTTGATTTGGTAAGGAATTGAACTCGAAGCCGTTTTCAGAGAGACTCTTAAGAGTAAGACTATTTCTTAGACATACACATAGGTACATAGGTACATGTGTACATGCGTACGTAAATACATGAGTACATTGGTACATATGTGTACACATCCAGCGTAGACATACCTACATATTTCTACATGCGCACGAACGTACGTACGTAAGTGAATGCATACATACATACATACATACATACATACATACATACATACATACATATGTATATATATATACATACATACATACATACATACATACATACATACATACATACATACATACATACATACATACATACATACATACATACATACATACATACATACATACATGCATGCATACTACATACATACATACATACATACCTACCTACCTACCTACCTACCTACCTACCTACCTACCTACCTACATACCTACATACCTACATACCTACATACCTACATACCTACATACCTACATACCTACATACCTACATACCTACATACCTACATACATACTTACATACATACCTACATACATACTTACATACATACCTACCTACCTACCTACCTGCCTACCTACCTACATACCCACATACACACATACACACATACACACCTACACACAGACACACAGACACACATACACACATACACACATACCAACCTATGTGCATACGTGCGTACATGCATACATATATGTAGACTTCGAGACTGGAAATGTGTTTCCCCAGCTACTTTTTGAATCCTTTTACGCTGTCGGCTTGCCCTGCGACCTGAGCATCGACTTTGGGTAGTTTGGACAGTGAGTGTGGCCTAAGGCAATCAAGCACTCTCTTTTGTACTCGGGCTGTTGCTTATCCACTGTACTCAGCTCAAGGCCCGGTCCAAGATGTAGCACATGCAAGGGTTTTCACGTAGCTGATGCGGGAGCAAGTACCTCCTGACACTGGGACAGTCCGATGGTATATGCGGCTTATTGAACCCAAATCCTGGGAGACGAGGGTTTAACCAACGTGTGGCATGTTTTTTTTTTTTTTTTTTTTTTTTTTTTTTTTTTTTTTTTTTTTTTTTTTTTTCGGCCGGGCCACATGTCCTTCCCGAAGGGAAGTGCTTTCCTTGAGCTCTTAGGCCTTAGGGGTGCGCTGTTGAGCTGCTGCCTGTGTCACTTTAATCTTGTTTGCATCTTTGCACTGTTCCGTTTCATTTCTCTTTTTACGCTCAGCTTTCCAATATGTGTATCGCAGCTTTTTTGCTGGGGATTCTGTAGGATCTATTCAGCAGCGCTCAAAACCCTTAGTGGCCATGTCGGTCATGCGTTCTACTACTTGGTTTCATGGGGTGTATAGTAAGGCCTTGGTAAACGGCTAGGACCTGTTGGAAGAACCGACAATGAATGATTGATGCTATGATCTTGCAAGTAGGGAACAAGGGAAACCCCTTGAGTTGCTGTAATTTACTTAGGGTTTCAGGGTCGGATGTTGTTGGTTCACTTGGGAACCAACCGTAGAACCCAAGAACATGGTTTTGGGCGCAGCTCAATTGGAGGCTACAGCTACTCCGTGGTCTTCATGCTACGGAACTTAGCCGTCGCCCTGGTACCGGTGCTTCTGGTGAAGCTTGTCACCGTTTTGTTAAGGACAAATCAAGTATGGAGCTGTATGAGAGAACAAGTGACAGTCATAGTCATTATATCCACCTGAAATAAGTGGTATGCGATAAAATGTTCGTGTATAACATTTGCAGTTGTTATTGGTTTCGAGCCCCATTATTCAGGTCTTGCACTTGGGGATCCCTTATTTCATGTTTGTTTTCATGTTGGTTTGTTTTGTAAAATGACAGGGGAAGGGCAGAGTTCCCCTGAAGATTAGCAAAGCACACCAAACTCATGCTAGACTAGACCCGATGTTTGATTCTAGCGGCTTTCTTGACTGCGGATGCTGGAGATGTTGGCTGGGGATGTTTGCTGGTGATGTCAACCGGTGTTTAAGGCTCGGTGGTTGATTGGCGTGCGTCCTTTGCAGCTAGTTCGCAGTTGGGCTTGCACGTAAGTTTTTGGGGAGACAGCGGGGTTCATTCCTTGACAGGAGAGCAAGTGCCTCTGGCTTTTGCTTTTTGGGGCTTGTGCCAGTGCACTTGGTATGGCCACGTGCTTTGATTTGTAGCACCTGTAAATTGAAGATCAACCGTGATTTCTGAAGGTGCAGATCCATGCGAGTGACAAAGGTAGATGTCCACCCCCCCCCACCATGAGGAGGAGTTGTCCATGTTCTTCAAACCGGGCCTAAACTGTGTCAGTGTTTGTGCGTCTGTTTTGGGTTTGTACCTTTGGATGTCCCACCCCAATTGGGGGCAGGGGGTTCCTGAGGAACATTCCACAGCTGAACGTGCTGCTTCTGAACCTGACGTTGACGCTGGGCATGGCAATTCAAGTACGGCTTTTCCCTTGGCGCACCTACACGCCGAACCTCATCGATGCCGCCGGCTCCATCTTCGTGTGTGGACTTCTCAATACCTGCATGGCTCTCTTGCACCTGTCTCCTAAGAAATATATTTTGCCTGTACAGGTGGGCAAAATATGGACCAGAATCATATATGTTTGTATATACACCCCTGAACTTGGGCGATGTCTTTTTGGTGTCCCTTTAAACCTACCTAAAAACTCCAAGGAACGAACACTATTCTTGGACACCAAGTGAGGTACCTGGAGCCAGATGTCTTCGTCTTCCTGCAACACTGGATCACTGCTCAGTTCGTCTTCATGGCAGTGGCGCCTCGGAGAATCCAAAAGAACCTCGAAGCTCCTAGAGGACCTTCACATTCTTCAGGGCCAAAAAAAGAACATAGACAAAGAAACGTGACTGGTGACTAAAAGCGACATCTGACAATTTACCTGAAAATATGTACCATTTGGAGGAGGCGAAGTGGGCAATTTGCAGAACCCTGTCCTGACTCAAACCAGGATACCATTTCTGCAATATCAAGGGAATCCCTGCAAATCCGATAAAGTAGCCATGGAAGGATGCCAAAGTCACTTTGGCGTAGTAAGTTTTTTCTGGAAAGGTGATGGGCTGCATTTTGATCGGCCACTTCCTTGCCATCTGCTCCAGCCGGAAGTTCTACCACATCTTCCTGAGCCACCACAAAGCCAGCGCAGCCTGCCTGGCGCGCTGGTTCAAGGCTCGCCGCCCCGTTTGTGTCAGTGGTCCCTTTACAAAAGCAATCCGTGGCAACCCTTTGAATCAACGGGTTCTGGAAAAGTGATTCCAACAGTATGTCATGTAGCATTTGACGTTGACTCAAAACAGATCATCAAGAAGGGGTGGCCATAAGGCTAGCAATTTAAGACAACAAAACAGGTTGCAGTTTAGGATTCACATACGCCGACAACAATACAGTGATGATAGATTGACAGTGCACATAACTTGTATACATTGATAACGTTATGAGACTACAGATGTCGTTTCGGGTGCTTTCATGATTGTCGCAAGTTTGATGTTTGTGCCGTTTGGTCTCGCTCGCCCCCAAACAACGGAAACAAAAAAGCCCCTTTTTTCGGCCAAAAGGTTGCTATTCACCCCCTATCATGGGATTGGATCTGGAAAGTCATAAGCTCAGGTGAATCCCAAACCGCAACACGCCCGTGTGGGTTCTGCAGATGCGGAAAACACACAAGCACAGATAGAACCTTCCACCCGGCCTGCACCAGACCACACGGAACCTCCGGAACCTTGCTCGAACCTGACTCCAGAGCTCCCGCGAACCACCCCCAAACCTGGGCTGAGACCCCTTAGCTTTCAGCTGTTGGGAATTCAGCTGGGAAGAAGTCCAAAAGGTTGCTCGCCTCATAAATGAACAGGTCTGCATGACGGACGAGGCGAGCTTGAACATCTTCCTGGACTCCGATGACCTAAACCTTGACCTGCTCTTTAATACGGTGACCCAGAACACCCGCGCCTTCCTTCAGTTTTTCAGTTTTTCCTTTTGGTTTTATTGAACTGGTCTCAGATCGTGGGAAGGAACAAGGAGATCTCCCAGTCGGGACTTCATTGTTTGAAGGTTGAATTAGACAAAATCTGGCTTTTCTTATCAGTACAGGCCCACAGCCCTAAGAAAAGGCTGAATCAGCTGACCAAGGCAACCTGGTGGTCCTCTTGACCAAGGATGCACTCCTCAGACCCTGGTGCGTGGGTGAGATTGTCTGCGCCTTCAACGCGGGAGTGAATGTTGCATGGTTGCTCTTCAGTGCCGCCTTGAACCTTTCAACCTTGTGCAAATGTCAGTTTGCTTTCCAACTCTCAAAAGTTATACTCTCCTGCGGATGACCATGGAACCCCAAAAGCCACCAGTTGTAGAGGCTTCTTCTCGGGGACCTGATTGAACGACCAGGTTGTTTGTATGCAATGCAACGACTTTCTGCCCGGGAACGGCGCGAAGATTCTGCAGCAGCTACAACAGGTTTGGAAGGAATGGGTTGGCCAAATGTTTCAATCAGCCTGCAACCAAAGTCCCAAAGATACATTTGGGCCAGTCAAAGGCATGTATGTGCACCAGCTCATGTACAGGATTCCCTTGCTCAAGGTTTGTGGATGCTCCTTTAAGCAAACCCCTCAGAACCAAAAGGATGTTGTTTCAAGCGTTTAGCCGCGTGCTCTTAAACAAGCGGCTGGCAGGAATCTGAGAAGAACGTTTTGGCCAACTACGGAATTCCCATGTACTCCATCGCCAAGGCGAAAACCCGCAGTTGACTACCTGCCACGTAGGTAAGGGGCAGCACACATTCCAACCTGGGCGCCACCGAGCCGCCGACCAGCACCACAATTGCTACCCGCTCCATCGAACATCGGGGCACGAGCCACGGCTCGCCTTCTGGTGCCGAGCCACCAAAACACATGGTGGCGCGACTCATCGAATGCGTTCGTGTCATCCTTCTCTCCTATTTCGATGGGGAGGGTTTTTTTTGCGGGCATCTCAGTTGAGCTGACCCCTTAAACTTTGCGTTTGCCTTTCTCAAGTCATTTTTGAGAGGTAAAGGTTAATCTCTACCTGCCAGGTCCTTTGGGCAGGCAAGGGCTTGGCTTTTTGGTTCCGGGCAGGCACTTGACCAGCTTGAGAACACTCCCACCATTCGATTGGATCGAGCTTCCTCGGAAGAGCGCCAGATGGATGTTATGATGCAGACCCTGGACAGGCGCGTTTTCTCGGCGAGAAGCGACTTGGAGTTGGTGGAAAGGCATTTTACAAGGCGTAAATAGGGATATCCCATCCGGACGGTGTAAAACTGAAAGACCCTAAAGTTAGCGACACCCGATTCGGATAGCAATAGACCCTCAGACTGGCGATGCGTAATTCGGATGACAACGCGCCGGAGAACTAACAGAGGTTTCTCATGCTGACGTAGATTCGGCCGTTTGTTAAAGTACCTCAAAGGGAAGTTGCCTGGTTTTCCTGCCAGACGCAGCTTGCCTTTTCATTTTGTTTAGCAGGTCTAGGCCCTTTTCTGACAATAGGACACCGGCGAGTGATGTGGGCATTCCCCAACTCAGATGTTTTAATCATGGTTGCATGTCCACCAACCCCGTCCTATCTATAACCATTGCATAGCCTGCGAGCCCTTTCTCGTGCCCAACTCAATTGGCCGACATTGGCCCCAAGAAGGGGAAGGCAACTTAAATCTTCAAGAGGTATCAACTTTTGCCAGCAGATGTCTAAGTGCAGAAACCCTTGAGGTTCCAAGAGAGCGGTTGAAACTCGTCGCTTTGCAGGTGCCAATTGAATCGCATGAAGCTGATGTTGTCTGGAGCAGACCGCGCTTGTCGAGCTGCTTTGCGAGGGACACTTCGACCAAGGAGGGGTCCATTTGCTGGTCAGACCCTTCCGACTCGACGGGTTCGGTTGTTGCACGGGTTCCGATCCCTTGCACCGAAAGACAATCATTTGTATCATACCCAGTTGATAAAACCCATTTTGAGCCCAAGTTGGTGGTTACTTCCATGCTACTGTTGACCCAATCAACTTGGTGCAAAACCGATTAAATACGCAGATGGGTATTCTATTTCTCCTAGGCTACTTCGAGGGAACCAACGGTCCAGGCCATATAGGCCATGGCTAGATTGTAAATTGCAAAGCATCCAACTTGAACCGTCCAAGTAGGCCATAGCCATGCTCAACGGAACAGAGATTGGTGGACATATAACCATTGTTACAACCTAGCTTCTTTGGCCGAACAGGGTCCAAGGAATTCATGGCCATTTGGTAACATTGTTTTCTCATGGCACAAATATGGGCACCTGTGTTTGTCTCCAAGAAGGGAAGCCTTAGACTAGGTCAGGAAAGCCTTGATGGAATCCATCCGTAGCATAACACTTTTAGGTCGCGGTTGTACCAAAATGGATTCAGTTGATTTCCCCTTAAGGGGGGATTGACGAAACATTCCCCAGACAAGCAACCCAGGCGAGACCAATTGGCCTCTCAGAGCCGCCCCCAATGGTTCTACCTAGCTTCATGCAAGTGAGAACCTTTCGAGTCAGCCCAGCTTTTGGGAGCTGCTCGTGTCCTTTGCCCATAGAAACAGCTCACCTTAGGACCCGTAAAACCAGCAAATTATTGGGACGACGATCTTTGGGGTGATTTGTTTGATGTTTTGGGGATGCGCATGGTAACCAACTCGCAGGAGCGGGGATGCGCGGGTGGTGATTATCAGCTCCTGGCAGTATGAGGCAAGGACCTGCTCCTTCCTCGTGCACCTCGCCGCAAGCGAACGGCCCCGGATGTGTCAAAATAGTGGGCCCCAAACAAGTGGCGGTGGTCCCGTTAAGCCAGGCCTACTTAGTCATGAAGTGCTTAGTAGCTACCGTTATAGCCCAACGCCATGGGTGTAAGCCCCTAGGTGGTCAAACGCCAGGGTAACCACTTACCTAACATGCCCTCCCCCTCTAGTCCCAGATTCGGTCAAGGTCTGCAATCCACTTTCGGGTTGACTCGTCCACCTATTCTCCTATTCTGTTTCAGAGCTAGTGGCTACTGGTAGTCACTATTCCGTTGCCATGGCTCCCCTTGCGAGTGGGCTTTGAAGCAGTATTTGATACTAAAATCTCAGGTAAATGATCAAGATCACCTGGAACCCAGACAGCAAAAGGGATGACATGGGGCACATGAAACCGTAACTGCCACGAAGAAAATGAGGGGGGTGGTTCCCATGTAGTCGGGGACATACTGAAAATGGACCCCGTTGCTCTCGATTCGCTCACACAGCTTTTAGAGAGAAAAAAGCGCCCTCACAAAAACAACACTCGTTTCAGGCCCACCGCCATCTATGCATGCCCCAAAAGAGAAGGGATGGTCCAGCCAACCCGCATCGATTGAGGGCCCCCGAGGTGCCAATACACTGTTTCTCTTTTTTTGTTTTTCTCTCTCTCTCTCTCTCTCTCTCTCTCTTTCTCCCTCTCTCTCTTTCCCTTTCTCTTTCCTGCTCTCTCTTCTTCTTATCTGTCCGTCTATCTATCTACCCTTCCATCTCTCTGTATGTCCGTCTATCCATCTATCCATCTATCTATCCATCTATCTATTTACTCCGGCTTTCTAGTCTTTATCTATCTATCTATCTGTCTATCTGACTATGTATTTTTCTGTCTGTTCATCAAGTATCTCTAGTATGTTTTAGTTGTTTATCGGCTCTATATGTCTGTCTGTTTGCTTGCCAGCCTGTCCATCAATCTAAATCTATTGTCTAGATTATCTAGCTCTCTTATACCCGCCTGCTTCTCTATGTGTTATCGGACCATCTCTCGCCTTGCCAATGTGCTGCGTTCGCCACGTAATCTGTACACACGGAACCTGCTGGGCTCGTCTCCGACTGCTTCTGCACTTGCTCCGAACGCGCTCCAAGACTGCTCCAGGCCTCCAAGCCTCCAAGCAGGGGCCGCAATCAGGCAAACTTTCGAGCGTCCGAAGAAACCGAAACCAGAAACCAGCAGAAGATTGCACAGCCTTTGGACATTTCGAGTCCCCCTGCACGTGTGCACGGATTTTTCCCTGCGTGCTGATTCCTCTCCTGCGTTCTGTCAGGGAGCTAGCTTGAGATAATTGCTGTGTGGGGCCCTTCCGAACCCCCAAACGTTGGCCCTTATTTGGCTGGTGAATCTCTTTGGTTCCGGAAAACCAGGGCGAAAACCACTTAGTTCGCTGGTCTGATCTTCCATGGAACCCAAGAGGGTCGATATTTTGCAGGAGGAAACCTGTGCGATTTTTTTGAAAGAGACGACTTTAGCAAGACGTCCCAGCAGTGAAAAAAAGGAATTCCGGAACCTACGTCAACATGAAGTCATGTTGAGAAGCCTTCAAATTGCCAAATGTTTCTAGATGCCATCTCAGGCGACGCAAGCTCATGGGTTTCGCACAACTCTTCGTGGAGGTCTTGCAGGAGAAGGACCCGCATTTGGCTCGGCGCCGGCGGAGTCCTTGGAAATCTAACTCACCATCCAAAACCCCTGGGTGTTTTTCCATGGCTATCGGACTTCTGACGTTAGTGGGCGATTCTGCCGGCCGTTTGAGGACCATGCTGAGGCCTGGCAGAAACCAACGCAGCAGGTCTGCTCAAATGTTTGACTGTTTTGAAGCAACTTCCCAAGTTGTTCTTTAACAAAAGTACCAGGACACGTTTTTGAAAGACGGGTTTGCCTTGAGCGCTACGCGTTTCTCTTCTGTGTTTTGTTCACGTGTTGTTTCATCATGTGGCAAAACGGCCGAATGGCCGTTTGGCTCAAGTTTTTCCACCTCCCGACAGGTCTTCTGCGGTAAAACGTCAGGCGCCATAGTGCGGCGGTCTTCCCCCTCATTAAGTAGTTTGCTGCTTGGTGCGGGATAGGGCTGGCACTAGGAGGTACCTGGTTTTACGGCGTGGGCGCCCTGGGCTTGGTGGCATACTTCCCGATTTACTATTGCAACGTGTTTCCAAACCTCCCCAAACATTTTCCTCTTCTACCGTCACATCCTCAACCCGGTCATCATCCACAGCTTCATCCGAGTTGTGTTTCCGGGTGCTGTGGGCACTTTGTGATCTACCTTGTGCTCATTTGCTTCCCTGGGCTACTTCGTGTTCGCCCAAAACCGCAGGTTATCAGCCGTACCAGCTAGAAGCTGGGGCTGGTGATCCGGTTGCGGGACGTGACCCGCTACCTGCTCCCATCGCCTACTTGTACGAGCAATGGCGTCCCCCGGAGCTTCTCATCGTGGGCCGGGCTTCGTGGACGACGAGGCCAACGCCCTTCGCGGCAACGCCGCGCCTGCTGCCCCCGGCTTAGACAGCCGGCTGTGGCCCATTCCCCCGATGGTGGGCGCAGAGCCCAATCCCGGGGTGATCACGGACGATTGGATCCTTTCTCAGGTTGTGTTTGATGAGGATGCGGAGGCCCCTATCCCGGCGGCAGTGCTCCAGATCGAGGACGGACCCCCTCTAGAAGAGGCTGAGGTTCCTCCAAATCAGGTGCCCTCATCGATTTCGCCTACTGTTCCGTTCGTGGCGCTCCAGATCGAGGACCGGGCTGCCCATCATGCTGCTCATCCGGAGCCGGTTCAATCATGGTCCCTTACATGGGATCAGTTTGACCAACTCCTCGGCAGTGGATCGCAGGCTACACCGCCTGATTTCGGTCGGCTCGACTTTAACTCGGGTGCCCCCGTTTCGGTTGGGAATCTGGATTTTCAATCCCTTTTTGATGCTGATTGGAGGTCTCAGCCTTCCCGAATTGACAGATCTTTTGATGCCCTGCCTACGCATGAGCCTACTCAGGGTTTTCCTCATGATGGAGAAAATGACCCCATTGAAGATTTCTCCCCTTCTCATGTTGCAGGTTCGGCCCAACCCGAGGTGGGCAAACGGGCGATTGAGGATTGGCCGCAAATAGCTGGCCCTCCTCCCGTCTCAGGTTCATCCGACATTGACATCATTCACGATCACCCCAGTCCGGCGGATATGGACTTCATCCCTGATGCAGTATCATCTCACCTGTCAGGTACCCGCGACCGGAATGCGGACCGCTACAACGCTGGTCCGAATCCACCGCTTTCCTCAGGTACCCGAGGTCGGGATGCGAACCGCTACAACGCGGGCTCAAATCCGCCAAATCGGACATCAGGTACTAGTCGATCGAATGCGGGCCGCGAAACAGCAGGCCCAAATCCTTCCTTCTCTTCGTCAAGAAGCCATGTCGGTCTCTTCGCGGCGTTCAATCGGCGTCAGACTCGAAAAGAGTCCGCCCCCGACGTCATCGACCTCGAGGAGCAGTCCAGCCACCGTACCAGTGATGGATCCGAGCAGGATACACCTGGTATTGGCTCTACTCCATTTGACCTCCTCGACATCCCCTTCCATCAGCCACCCAGGAGAGGAAATGAAGATGATGAAACCATTCCTGGAATCCTTGATGTAATCGATGAGGCCGAGGTCACACCAGAGAGACGAACTACATCGCTCCCGCCGAGCCGCGTTGCCAAAGTACTTTCCCCTAAGCCACTCAATGGTGACGTTGCTCAACGGCTTGATCTCACTCAACCTAATCCAGATCAAGCTCAACTTCGCGGATCATCATCATTTGATAATGTGTCGGGACAAACCGGCACTGACTCACGAGCCACAAAGAGGAGCTCTGAGTCACCCGAGAGACGTGAAGCTGCTCTACGACTGCGATCTAATCCCCCAGCTCATCACGATCCTATTGACGTTCCTATACACTCTGCGGGGTCTGGGCTCAGCTCCAATGCCCCGATGTCTGAGAAGGAGACTGATGACGGGATTAACTCTACGCCTAGGAATCGGAGACCTGGTCTTAGCACTGTTGCCCCTGGATATGGAGGGCTTCCTTCGAATCAACCGGTCAACGACTCCGTTGTCCCCGCATTCTTTCAAATCGGAACTCCGGGCTGCACTCCCGACAGGGAAGAGAATAGCCGCGGAGATCATGACGCTGATAGTCGTCCTGCTCCGTCTGCTTCCACAAGTGGCGGCCATCCTGTTGCATCTGAGCTTCAACGACTGCTTCTCGCGATCCATAACGAGGTCAAGGGGTGCAAGGCCGAAATCCAGGGATGCAGAGCTGAGATTCGTTCATGTAGGGATGATATCAACGCTTGCGTCGGTGAGATCAAGAAGATCAATAACCGTGTTGACGCCTTCGAGAAGAAGGTTGAATCATCCTTCTCTGCTGTTGCCGGAACTCTCTCAAAACACGAGGCTAAGTTCCGTGATTTCCACGAGTGGGTTGCCCGAAGCGAGAAGGAGATGAATGAGCGTTTCAAGATGTATGATGAGAGATCTAACTCGATCGTCATATCCGCTGCTGAACTTCGCGAGCAGGCCGAATCACTTGAGAACGCCAAGGTCCAGCTTCTTAGGTTTTCTGAGATCGGGGCCCTTGAGGCTGAGGTTCGGAAAATCAAAGACGAAGTTGAGGCGAACTCTCGCAGTGTCATCGACATTGAGGGAACCATCTCAAGAGAAAGAACCATCCGTGGGAACGTCGAGACGTATATCCAGCATCTCGTTCCTGCGACCGACCTGAAGCAGTTCAGTGATAAGGTATCCGGAGCCCTCAATGAGAACTCACAGAAACAGGAAGAATTCAAGCTTCAATTGTCCCGCATTGCTAGATGTGTCAAGGACCTTCATGACAAAAGCTTAGGCCCCAACCCGAGGGACATGCAAGAGCAGTTTATGAAGCTTGTGCTGAGGGTCAATGAGATCAACATGCAGGTCGCTGAATTGAGGGAGCAACCTCTTGCTGCCTGCGGATCCTCAAGTGCTGGCGCTGGTTCGACCGCCGGAACGGGATCATGGGAGAAATCTGGAGACACAGATCCCTTAACCCAGGGAAGGGCTCCTAGAGGTTCTCCTCCTCGTGATGCTCGCACCGTCAGCTCGGCGAGGCCTCCTCCACCTCCACCTCCACCTCCTTCGGGGCCACCCCCACCATCACCATCAGCCCCCATCTTCGGCAGGGATCCCTCTAGAACGAGGGCCATTGCTCGGGCTGCCGGCGCTGCCCCTGATAACCGGGCCAGGTGTGCTCATGAGGAGCCAGGGCATCCACAGCATCGGGAACCTCGCTATCCATGCCGAAGCTGCGGCAAGTCAGTCTGCGAAGACTGCTTTGACCATGACTGTAACTCATGTTTCAAGTGCAGCGATCAGTTTCCTAGATGCCGCGCATGCAGAGGAAGAGGGGGGAGACACGGACTTGTGAGGTGTCTCATATGCAAGGACGAGTACTGCGATCAACACATCGCTTCGCCTGACGATGTACGTCGTTTTGGGTCGAGTGTTCGACCTATTTGCCTCGGTTGTCTGAGAGCTGATCCCGACGGGAAAACTAAGCATCGCGGCCCCAGTGCGGGGCCTGGAGGACCTGATTGCATTCCTGATCATAATCAGCAGGATGGCACTGCTCCTGATCCTGGATCCGGGCCATCACGTGGAGATCCGTCACATCGGAGTCCTGAACCGCACCAAGGGAATTCTGGTTTCTGTTCCAACGCCGGAGCTGCCGGGCCAATGCCACCAAGGGCAATGTCTTCGCCCGTAGTCGGACGAGCAGTTCCGAGGGGGACCATCAACACGTACCCCGGATGTTCCCCTACAGGGGGGATTTTCACCGGTCAGGTTGAGCATGGAACGTCTCAGGGAGTCATTCGCGGGAGATACGGACCTGACGCTGCTGTGACAAATCAGCAGAATCCACAGCCTCACCACGGGGCACAGGATAACTCTGGCGGGCCAACTGGTTTTTCTCTTCCACCAGGACTCGGTAAGGGTGTGCATGGCGTCGGTGGCGTCGGCGGTATTGGAGCTCCCGATATTCGCCGATCTTCCGCTGAGGAGAGGGTCTGCCCTCGGTGCAACATAAATGTCAAGACCAGCATTTGCGGGACACCTCCATGCTTCCAAACTTGTTCGTTGCGCCGCACTTCTCTATGCGCCGCGTGCTGCCCGCCATCGTCCGGGAGTTGCTCTCTGTGTGCCATATCCATTGGCAGAGACGGTGTTTTACCTCCCCATGTTTTTGGGCAGGCTACTCGACCGCCCTTAACTTCGTTGCCATCTGAGGCGAACAAGTGCGCCAACATAGAGCTCGAGAAAGAGCCCGCACCGCATGAGTTGCGAGACTGGATCATTTCCACGAGAGAAATCGTGAGCAACGCATTCAGCTATGACTCGCCATATGCCATGTCTTGGGTCATGAGTGTCGAAAACGCCAGCACAATAGAGGAACTTGATGGGGAGTGCCTCTACCCGATCCTTGACAATAAGTTCAATGCTGCACTGAGAAAGTGCATCACATCGAAACCTATTGTTGCCAAGATCAGCAGGCTGACTGAAGAGGCTCAGGTGAAAAGGGGGACGAGGCTGAAGAGCCGCCAGATCCTATTCTGTCTCA